TATAGTCACCCATCCATCTATCCTTCCATTCAATCATCCATTTATCTATCCATCCATCCGTTGATCCACCCATCCATCTATCCCTCCCTCCCTCCATCCATCCTTCCATCCCTCCATCCTCCATCTACACACACATACAATCATTCATATACTCATCAGTTCAACCAACCATCTGTCCACCCATCCATCCACCCACCCATCCATTCATTTATCTACTTACCCATCCTTCCATCCCTCCATCCCCCATCTACTTATACACCCATTTATTCATATACTCATCCATTCAACCAACCATCCATCCCTTCATTTACTCATTTGTCCAACCATCCCTCCATCCTTCCATGTACACACACATCCATTCATTCATATACTCATCAATTTAATCAACCATCTGTCCATCTGTCTGTCCACCCATCCATCCATCCATCTGTCCATCCATCCATCCATCTTTTCATCCATCCATTCAGTTGATTCCAAGAGCCTTGTGATAGGTGCTGGTAGTGCATTGGTAAATAAGGTAGCTACCTCTCTCCTGGAGCCTCCATCTAATTAGAGAGACAGATTAAAACAACTCTCTGTGTGTCATGGGAGGGGGAAGCTATTCTGAGATGAAAACTAAGGGAGCTTTGTCCTCCCAGGGTGCTTTGGTAGAGTCCCTGGGTTGGGTTCTTTGGCCTCCCAGCCTAGTGTGACAGAGAAAGCTCCAGAGTCGGAGGACCAAGGTCAGGTCTCGAGTTCCTGGGTGTGTCAGATCTTTGAAGTGTGAGATCGGCTTCGTCCCGTCTCAGAGGATTGCTCTGATGCTCTCGTGGTGCTAATGGATATACTTATCCTTCAAAAGATGTAAAAGGCTTTTGAGATGTATTACCACTAAAGTTATGACTCTGAGCCCCACCAACACGGTCCATTTGAACCTCCAGGGCAAAGCATCTAAATAAGCAGAGAGGCAGCTAAGTAGGAAGTCGTTTTGCAAAACCTCAAGATGACCGGGATTTGAGCTTTGGCTTTGTAGAGTAACGCTGATTTCACAGAGTAATGCTGGTTACAAGGACTCGACTAGTGAATGAACTAATGAGGCGCTCAGAACATTTTCATGCATTAAATTTTTACCCGACATTACCCTACATGTAACAGCTTAGGTTTCTCGACTTTTCTGTACCCCCAGTTTCCTCTGCTACACCACAGGGATCAGAATATTACCTATTTTATAGGGTTGTGCTGAAGTTAAACCAAGATTGACATGCAAATTATTCAGAGCAGTACCTGGCATACAGTCAGTACATAATAGATGCTTTAAATTTATTAGCTAATTAATTTAAGATGCTTTTGCTTGCCTGTGAACAGAACATCCCTGGAAAGATACACAAGGCACAGAGCAGGAGAACAGACTCCTGGGGAGTCTAACACAGACCCGGCCTGCCATATAGTAGGTGTTCAATTAGAAATCTAAAGAAGAGACTCATAGCAAAAATATTTCTCCCTGTGACTCTTTGAGCCTGAGAAATGGTAGATGATGATGTGTGGTCACCATCTAGTCCCCCAAATATTTGTAATTAAAGTCTCCTTTGCTTGAATAAATTCTTCTTGTCCAAGCAGAGCAGGTCTTGCTGTTGCTAACAATTGCCTTCTCTTTCTGTCAGGGTGGTTACATTTTACTGAAGGGCGCTGAGGGGAAGAAATACTAATAGCGGCCACTAGATGGAGCTACAGCTCTGAGCAAGAGGCTCAGAAAGTGCCATGCAGGCGGGTGGAGTAAATCTTGTGTCCTGGACAGACAGACCTCATTCTAGACTGGTCTCTGCCACCTACCTGTATGTGGCTGCCAGCAAACAACCTTAAGGCTCGATAGGCTTAATTACAAAATGGGGATTATCTTAGAGCCCACCTCGGAGAGACACTGTAAACATCAGATGGGAAGACACCGTGAGAACTGGAAGCAGTTCAAACGTGAGTTAATGCAATGCCCAAAAGCCACCCTGCTAGAGCCACTCCTTGGGCACGATTCCAAAGGCACGATAACTTTCATGACCTCCTTGTATTATAGTAGCAAGAGCTGGGGCTCAGGGGTAGCCGGGAACTGTAGGGGATTCACAGCCAAGCTGGACGTGGGGGGAGGGAGGGCTGGGGTAGGGTTGATAGATGGGTAGGTACTAAGATAGGAGGAAGAAGCTCTGCTGTGCTGTCGCATGGTAGGGTGACTCTAGATACCGTTCCACACTGTGTATTCCAGAAATCTAGAAAGAAGGGTTTTGCATTTTTTTTTTTTGCCAGAAAGTAATAACATTAGAGGAGATAGGTATGTTTTCCCTGATCAGAACATTTTACAATGTGTACATGTATAAAAACATCATGATACCCCTTTCTTCCTCCCTTTCTTTCTTTGGTTCTTTTTTGCGGTCCTGGGGATTGGACTCAGAGGTATTTTACCACAGAGCTACATCCTCAGCGGTTTTTTTTTTTTTTTCATTTTTTATTTTAGGACCGGTTCTTGCTAAGTTGCTGAGGCTGGCCCGGAACTTGAGATCCTCCTGCCTCAGCCTCCCGAGTTGCTGGGACTACAGGTGTGCGCCACTGTGACCGGCTCTGATTTTTACGTTTTTATGTATCTGTTAAAAATTAAAATACAAGAGCCTGGCCTTGAAGGGTTGTGGGAGTGGCATGTGATAACCCGTGTCAAACGTTGTGTCCGGAACAGGGTGGCCTTTCAGTAAATGTGACTCTGTCCTCAAGGGCCTCTCTCCCTCTCTCCCTTGGCCGCTCCTCTCACTTCTTACCTTAGCCATCTTGAGGGGGTGCTGAGGTCAAGTTTCCTCACCTGTGCAGCCCTCCACCCAGTGGTCCCCCGGGCATCTCCAACTTAATAGGCTTAAAACCTACCTCCTCTTATTCTCTTTATACCTTTCTTTCCTTCCTCTCCTCCTCATCTCCCTCTGTCCTGTGTTTCTAATCTGCAACGTCGTCCAGCAGGACTTGATTGAGTTCCTCCGCTAACAACTCCCGTGTCTCTCATGCTAGGACTTTGACATTCTCTTCCCTCACCTGGAACATCCTTCCCTCCTCGACCTGCCCACCCTTCTTCCTCAGAACGACCCCCACTCATCTCCAGGTATCCTCGCTTCCTCTCAAAAGCCTCACACCTCAGGTAGCAGTCAGCACCCCCTTTCCTAGTCTCTGGGGGGTCTCCTTGTACTTTGACACTGTGGAACTGGTTCTGCGATGGTCACCTGACCTTGGAGATAACTGTCCATTTGGCTGAGTCTCCATCTCATATTGAGTGGGAAGTCAAATGTACATTCAAGATTTCTATAAATCTAGTGTGCTCCTGAACAGGACTCTCTCCGACCTTGGCTCCTTCAGTTCCTGCTCTGGGTCCCTCATGCCCTTCCCCAGGGTTAGAACACGCCCCCCCCATTTCCTTTATTTCTTCAAAGCTTCGCCCCCAGGAGACACCTAGGTGTGTGGCAGAGATCACTGAAGATCCAAGTGATGGGGTGGAGGGGTTGGTCCGCCCCGTAGTTCTTAGAGATCCTTTGTCAGCCACTCTCAGGGGACCTGGCTGGTGTCTCTCCAGGTCTCAGCTCACTCTTAACGTTGCTTGTTCTCCTCCACTTCTTCTGCATTTTTTGGGGGGTGGGGATCTCCTTTCTTCCCTACTTCCTCTCACTCAAATGCCTATTTATTACACAGATGTCTACAGTCTCTGAATCTCGCCATCTCCTTATGGACTATCCCAACTCTTTACACAGAAAATAGCTCCTCACAGTGTTCTTTTAGACACAGGGCAGCTCCGTGGGGAGTGCGTAATGTATGTGACCCATCTGCACATTTAGTTGACTTGTCTTTCTCCATGGAAACGCCACGAGAGTGGGATTGTGTCTGCCTTGTTCATTGCTGCGCCTCGAACTTGGTTGGTGCCTACTGGGCTCTTGATAAATGTCCATAATGAACGAGTATGTGACCGAGCAGGTGAGTGGGGGAGCGAGATGTTGCTGGCACTGAGGTGTCTCTCCAGTTCTCACTACTTGACCATTGTCCAGGGGAGAGGTCGAAGGCCAGACTCGACGAATGCTCTGATAACCGTGACAACTGCAAACCAAGGCCAGTTGTTTGGTTGATTATTTGGCTCTGCCATCACTGAGAGAGTTAAAAGGCCTATGGTTCCTGTAACTTATTGAGAAGGTGGGCGAGCACAGACCAAGATGAGAAAGAGGTTAAAAGGCAATGAGCCCTGCTACGTTGTGAGATGAGCTTGAAAATAAGCTTTGTGCTGCAACCAAGACCACCAGAAAATAGATGACTATGCTTATGGCTAAGATTTTCTTGCATACCTTTGCCTTGTTGGGGAATGCTCAGTCTATCCATCCATCTGTCCATCCACCCTTCATCTGCCCACTATCCATCCATCCATCCACTTATTCATCCATCCATCCATCCATCCATCCATCCATCCATCCATCCATCCACTTATCCATCCATCCATCCATCCATCCATCCCTCCTTCCTTCCATCCATTTATCCATCCATTCATTCAAGATGGTATATATAATGTTGAGAAATACATTCTAATCCCAGTGGTGTGAATTGGGTTCCTACTTAACCAAATTATTGTGAGATTCCAATGATATCCTCTAAGCCAAGCACTATCACGGGGCCCGTTACATAACAGCAGCTCAATAAACGGTCACTATGATTATCATTAGGACCTGAATACTGTACCCAAATCCCACAGCTCCAACGCTTTCCCATTCAGACATCAAAGACCCAGGTCAATTTTATTATCCCAAATTTGTGGACAAGGAATAGGGGGGAAGGAATCTGTAGAAGAAGTAGATAGAATCAGACTGGAGGTTGGGCCGGGGCTGGGGTGGGAATCTCACTCTAGAAGGGTGTCGGAGGCCAGTCTTCCGATGATCTTACTGCATCTTAACAAGCACCTGTGAGGGCAGGCAGGAAGCAAGCGCAAAGGTCTAGGGATGTAGGGACATGGCTTGGGCTTGGCCTCAGACGCTGGGACTGTTGGTCACTGCAGGCTGAGACTCCGTTAGGGCGTTCTGGGGCCTGAGGGGTAGGTTGACCCGGCTCTGCAGCCAGCTGATGTAGTCTTCTTGAGGCATGTGGACGATGTGTTCTCGCACAAACTGTGGGTCAAATACAGTGGCAACCTCAGAATTTGGTTTGGAAACTAGAACCCACCACCCTCCCCTGCCTCCCCGCTAGGATCCCAGAAGATTTGTCACCAAGACGCATGGCCCCAGGATGCACTTAACTATTCATTCATTCATAATGCCTGGAGCATCGGGCTGGGCTGATCTTTTGGGGAAGAGGGCCCTTCTCTGCAGTCTCCTCGCTCAACAGGATAATTTTAAGCCCCCTTTGTTACTTTTGACCCAAGGAGATTTGAGGAGGGCAGGAAAACCCGGATAACATGCCTCTCCCTTTCTTTTCTACTTCTTTGTATCATTTTAAAAAGTCACTTGCTCTCATACTATTATATCTATATTTTTTCGGTTCATAGATCTCTTTGAGAATTGGTGACAGTATGGGGCTTGCTTTTCAGGAAAGGGTTGAAGGCACACAAAATGTAGTGTTTGATGTCGACTCTAGATGCAGAGCCCCCAGATCCGGGTTATCAGAGGCTGCGTGATGCTCGCTCTGGGGAGGAGCATGCCGAGTTTTGTTAGCCAGGGCTCTGGACTCACTTGGATCTCTCTCCCATGCACCCCCCAAGCTGGCAGGCAGAAGGTGGCTCAGGACTGGCAGGTAGGAGGTGGACCGTCACCCTCGAGGTAGTTCCGGCCTTGCCTGCCGGAGTCTTTCAGAGCCTCGCAGGGTATGGGGAGGGGACCCTGGACACCTGACCTTGCCCTTCTACACAGACACACACCCAGGTCATCCGAAGGCAGGGTTGACCCGGGGTGGAGACGCCAAGATCCCCAAAGCCTGTCCAGCTGGAGAAAGTCCCCGTCTGAGTCACTTCTTTATCTGGAGTCACTGAGCGCCTTATGGAAATGCACACAGGCCATCCCATAAAATGAAGGGTGGGCCTTAAACCTCTGTTTGCCCCTCACTCTGGAGTCCTCACGGCTCGTGCCTCTGATGGCGGACAGAGCTCTGGAAACTTCTGATGGTCGAGGACTTTTGAAAGCCACTCAGTGGTTCCTCAGCACCTTGAGACAGAGACCTGAGTCCTCACCCTGACCTTCAGAGGTGGGTGTGGACTGACCTCTCCAGGACCCGTGGAACCATGCCCCTCCTGGACACCTCAGCTATCGCCATGCATGGTCAGGAATTCCTCCAAGTCAAGCCGGGTCCTGTTTGGTGGCCTTTACACAGGGTGTCCCTTCTTCCTGACCTGCTCTTTCCCCTGTCTACATGGTGCTGTCTTCTCATGGTTCAGGTCTCAGCTTAAAGTCACCTTCCGCTGTCGTCCTGGTTAAGGTAGGTGCCACTAGTTTACTTTAGACCTCAGCTCCTCAGACTTTTTTCGGTATGCGACACCCCCTGCCCCCTGAAATGTGACTTCTGGGATGGTAGCCTGAGATTTTCCCCTTCTCCCCACCACCCAGGGGAAGCCCAGGGACCACACTTGCAGTGGCAGGATTTGGAGTTGCTTCTTACAACGATTGTCCTCGAAGCCTCTAAGGTTCCAGGGGACCCCGCTGATGTAGAATCTAATGTCCCTTGGAGTCGGAGACCAACAACCAAGGTCATGTGGTAATTCTAGGGGACGTAGGCTCCTGGGAGGCAGGGGTCTTCGTGTCTCTTGCTCCCTGTGTCCCCGGCACTTATAATAAACGCCTTCGGGTTGACAGATGGCGGAATGAAGGCAACCACGGCATGGGGGCGGGGGGAGGGGACAGGGGTTACCTCAATAGCCACAGCCACGTCTGGGGAGCACAGTTCCCAGATTCTCAGCTCCTGTAACACCTTCAGGAGGACGTGGGGCCGGATCCTGAGGTCCAGGTTCTCCCCAAACTTCTGCAGTTTGGCCAGGATCTTCTTGGCGGGGCGGAAGCTCTTCAGATCCTCAGGGAGTTTGGACAACAGGTCAAAGTACCTTCAATTCCAGAGGACAGGGCCCGTTAGGGGGCACCGGGGGGCCGGGGGATCTGGGCCCCGTGGATTCTCCTCCACCACTTCTGTCACTCATGGAGTGTCTCCAGGGCAACGTGAGACTCGGTCTGAGGACCTTTGATCCATCCTAAATGTTAAGGGCCCACGAATCAGGAGGAGTGCTTGTCCTCAGGGTTGGGAAAAGCTGGAACGCAACTCGTGTTCCATTAGAAAATGGCTAAGGACATGGTTTCAAAGGATGCATTTGAGTTTAGTTTCTTTCTTTTCTTTTCTTTTTCTTTCTTTTTTTTTTTTTAAATCAAGCAGGAAAACTAGAAGACAGGAGGGGGAGATTGGAAATCTGAAGGATTCTGAAGCTGCTCTCCTGAGGGTTAATCAGCCCAGGGTGTGTGGACACATCCAAGGGATGAGTCCCAGGATCGGGAGGTGCTCACCTTGGAGATGATGATGAGCATAAGAGGAAGGGAATGGTAGCTTCCGCCCTACCCTGGTCTAACCTACCTCTCTACTCCTCGGGGGAGATGTGGGGAACGGAAACAGAGAGTCACAGACAGACTCACGTCTAGGCATCGCGGTGAGAAATCAATGCCGATCCTGCCCGGTGGGATCCAGCCACCTTTGCTAATGTTGGAAACTTTGGGCATCCTAACGGGGGAGGGAAGTGCCCACCACAGTAAGAGTAAAGTCAGATCAACGGCAACCTGGTGAGCACGGTGCTGAGATAAGTCATTGACTAAGTCTTTCCGGTTAAAATTACCGAGCACCCCTACTGTGAGAAACGCATGCTTCCCATACTCAAAGTCCCTGTGCTCATGGAGATTTCATTCTACACCAGGAGACGTGAATAAATGCCATTATGTGTAGATATGCATCATCCCCCGGGAGCATGAGGCACCGTGGAAGGCCCCAGAACTCTGCTGAGACCTCAGGGACCTGCTTTGTAAGCTCCTGATCTGCAGTATTAAATCAGGGGAGGAATTTGGGGTACATCTTCGGACTTTCTCATCTTACTCTTGGATCTTGGTGGGGTTCACGATATCCCAGTTCATTGAACCCTAATTCTGAATTGCAAATGAGCATAGAGACTGGGGCCAGATAAGGGACTTACATCTTAAATTTACCTCTTACTATCAAATTTACTATTAATTTGAGTAAATTAATTGCCCTCTCTGAGTCTCAGTTTCCCTGTCTGTGAAATGGGGTTAGTAGGTACCCTTAAGGATTTGAGGGTAGGAATAAAATAATTCATTAAACCTGAGTAGGGTGGAGCTTTCAGTCTAGTAATCAGTTAATTCATACTGCTTTTTTTTTTTTTTTTTAGGGGAGGGCTGTTGATCTTCCTTCCTTCCTCCTTTCCTTGTGCTGGGGATCTACCCCAGGGCCTTGCACATGCTACGTATGTTCTCTACCACTGAGCTGCATTCCCAGTCTGGTGTGTATTTCCTTTCTTAAACCTTTCATTTTGCTTTTTAATCATCACATAATAATTGGACCTATCTATGGGGTACAGCGGGACATTCCAGTACGTGGTGTATACAATGTGTGATGACCCCAAAAGCATATTTAACATATCCATCACCTCACACTGAGAGCACTCAGCCTTCTCTCTCCTAGTTATTTTGAAGTACACAGACCATGTTGACCATGGTGCCCACTGAGGTTCAATAAGACTCCAAAACTCACCATGTTGCTTCTGGTTACTTTTTTTGGTCACCGGGATTGAACTCAGGGGCACTCAACCACTGAGCCCCATCCCCAGCCCTACTTTGTATTTTATTTAGAGACAGGGTCTCACTGAGTTCTTAGTGCCTCGCTGTTGCTGAGGCTGGCTTTGAACTCGAGATCCTCCTGCCTCAGCCTCCTGAGCTGCTGGGATAATAGGTGTGCACCACCATACTGGTTTGCTTCTGGTCACTTATCCTCACCCAGCACAGGGGCACAGGGTTCCTAGGACACTCCTACCTGGGTTTGTGTCCTTAAGGTTTTAAATTATTTGGGGACCACCTCATAGACCTCAAAGTCTGTAGACTGGTTTTAGGTTGGGCTGTTTCACCTGCCCCTCCCCTGGGGCCATCAGAAGGTAAGAGCAGAGAACACAGCAGGTGGTCTTCCCCGTGGTCCAGAAACTGATGGGTTCTGACTCGTGCTCTCTGAAATTAACCTCTTTGGGTGCCACCTAATTGGTGGCCAGTGACAATTTAGGGTGGCGATGCTTTTCTCTGCACCTTGGAAGAGACCGAATGGGCCTTGACCTTGCACTCACAGCCCGGCCCCTCCGACCCTCTCGCCTTGTCCTCGGGATTTTTACCAGTGGTCTGCAATTTCTTGTGCGTCTCCTTTGACCAAGGAGATCTGATGTCGCATCTTGGACATGTCCTTTTGAAAAGTGGAGGCACGGCCAAAAGAATTGAACTTCTGGAGTCCTCTCTCTTCCTGGCGCCTAGGGGTGTGAGAAAGAGGGAGAAGCGTCAGAGCCTTCCTCCTTTGACGGTCCTACCGGCTTTCGAGATCGACTTACACACCTTTTCCTCCCCGAGGCCTTTCTTTCTTTGGGTCCTCGGGATTGAACTCAGGGGCACTCAACCACTGAGCCCCATCCCCAGCCCTACTTTGTATTTTATTTACAGACAGGGTCTCACTGAGCTGCTTAGGGCCTCGCTTTTGCGGAGGCTGGCTTTGAACTTCGGGATCCTCCTGCCTCAGCCTCCCGAGCCACTGGGATGACAGGTGTGCGCCACTGCGCCTGGCTGAGGCCTTTCATAACCCTCACTACTCCTCTCTTTAAAAAAAATTTATTTGTGCATTCTAGTTATACATAAGGTTGGGGTTCATTTTGACTTAATTCTAAACATGGGATACAATTTGCTCCAATTCAGCACTGGGGGCAGAATCGCAGCTCCGCCTTAGTCTGTGATGAGGCTTTTGCTGCAAAACGGCATGGCTCTCTCCAAGGTCCTGAAATGCCTTTCTTGCTGAACTGGCCTCTTCCTTGGCTCCCGTCCCCTACCTGCTTCTGATTTCTCATCTGTAAAATGGGGCTGAGGGTGGTCCCTAGGACTCAGACGTGAAGATTAAATCACATCTGTAGGGAATTGAGCTTCATGTCTGACTCATTCAACCAACTGATGTTGGTTCATCTCTTTGCCGCTCCCCTTAGCATTTTGTGCCTGTTCTATTTCTCCAAGGTCAATTTGTATTATAAATATAATCGCCTCAATTCTTTGTATACAATGCTCGGTGGCTTCCATTTTACTCAGAATAAGTCGCTTAGAATGACTTGGCTTTCCAAGCTCCAGTTATTCCTCGGCCCCTACAACATTTTCCAGCATCTTCACCCTCCTTCTCATTCCTTCTCTCCTAGAACTTTATGCTTTGGCTCACGATCAAAGTCTCTGAGCTGGAGTTCAACCTCCATGGGTGGGCTGGTAAAGCCTCTTATGATCTGGCCTCTGTCATGCTCTCTGATCGCCTTGCAAGCATCCCAAGCCCCAGCCACACCTGATTGCTGGCTGTTCCCTGCCTTACTGTGCCCTTCCTGGCTTCTGGGACTTTGCTGTGGCTTTTAATGGGAACTCTATTCCCTGTTCACTTTCCAGTTTGGTGTTTGAATTTTACCTTTACTGTTTAGGCACTTGGGGGATCACCTTTGACAAGAGATATTTCTGATGTCATTTCTATCAGCTATAAAGTGGTCTAATAGGTTGCTATTACAGGCAACCCTTGCCCTGTAGGTTTTTCATGAGGGGCAAACAGTACACAAATACAGACCTCTTAGGCCCACGACTGGCCCATGGTTCTCTGGAATATTCTGACCGAGGCAGTGCCCTGGAATGATCTGTTTTTATTAAACAGAAAATGTTGTTCCCTCCAGAAAGACGGTTCTGATGGCTGTCCCAGATCAGGAAGGGCCTCCCTGTCCTGCGTCCCCTTAGCCCTCTGCCTGGCTGAGCTCCTGGCTCAGGGCCCTGTGCAGCGGCTTCTTATCTATTCATCTGTCTCCCCCCAAGACCAGGAGCTTCCAGAAGGTCACATCCGGGGTCAGCCTTCTCTAAACCCCCGGCCCAGAGCATCGTTTGATCCGTTCTGAACGGACGAGAGAGCACAGGGTCACCTGGCAGCCCTCAGTCCGTGTGACAGAGGGTCATTGCAGGCGGGGGGGGGGGGGGGGGGGCAGGCTAGGAAGGAGGGCAGCTACTGGGCTGCCAGAGAGAGGAGACTGCAGCGGCCCCTGGCAATCTGAAATCAAGTTCCAACGACGGCCTTCCTGGCTCTGCGGGATGCACGGCCCTTGCTGCCTGACTCACCGTACTCAAGCTCCCCAGCCCCTTCTTGGAACCTTGTGAGCACTTTTCCTGCCCCCTGGCCTGATGCCACCCGGGCCTCATCCTGCAGTGGGTCCTCAGAGAGGACTTCCTGGATTACCCAACCTAAGTTAGGTTTCTCTCTCTCCTCCTCCTTCTTCTCACTCTCTCACCCGCTTTCTCTCCCTCCTCCCTCCTCTCTCTCTCCCCCCCTCCCCTGACATGGCGCCCTGCTTTCTTCCCATATGGAGTGATTGGAACGTGTTCAGCTCTATTTATAGGCGCAGTTATTTAATTTTCACCCAATTTTTTTCCAGGAGACCATCGACTCCCCGAGAGGAGGGGATGCATGTTTCTGGGACTGGGCTGTGGCCTCAGTACCTGTCCCCTGGTGGGCACACAGGTACCAGACAAATGCCCCTCGAGTGGGCAGGTGGAGCGATGCCCTTACTTCATGAAGATTTCCATCTTGTCCTGCAGGCAGAAGCCGGCCTCCTGGGCCACGCTGTAGAACCTGGCCCTCATGCTGCTGCAGAGCCCGCTTTTGCAGAGGACGATGTCACGGGGGGCCCGGCTGTGGGCGCACAGAAGAAGGGCTTGGCGGATGGGGCCCAGGGCTCCTGCTGTCGCCTCCCTGCATCCCCAGGTGTCTGGAGTGGGGATTCCCTGCGCCCACCTGGCTTTCCGCCTTCACCCCGGGCCTCCCTCGGCCTCCCGCTGGGTGTAGGAAGGATTGGGCTCCTCAACAGCATCGAGCTGGTGTTTGGGGACTTATTAAATGAGCCTGAAACTGAGACAACTGGTCACTAGCTCCCAGACAATGTTAAGGGATTTGAAAAGCTGTGGGATTCAGGCTCAGCCTCCCTAGGAGCCCTTTGTCCTGGGGGATCCCCTGGTCCTTCGGTGCTACCGGCGACTTCAGGGAGTCTGTCTGCTTTGGATCACCCCGGGGGGGGGGGGGGGCAGGAGGGTGTGGCCATCGCAGTCAGTCTGCCCCCCGCTCATCGGACTCACCCTTTCGCCTTCTTCTGGACTATCTGGGTGTGGCTTTCCCCGCCGGTGGAGCTCGATCTCTCACTGAAACACCAAGGCATGGTTTCAAGTTGCCCCAAGTCTGCTTTTCACAAGAAGGGGGTTGCCTGGCTCCTGCCAGCCCCCAGGATCCAGGCCAGGGGATGGTTGAGGCTCCAGAACTCCAGGCCTTTGCTCCTGCCCACCCGCTGCCCTGGACGCCCCGGGCTCCTTGTCCGCCTGCCCCAGTCCTCCCTGGTTTAGGTTCCAGAGCAAGGCCTGAATGCCTGGACTCTTGGTCCAACCTTGCCCTCTGCTTCTGCATGGTGCCAGGGTGACTCTGCTTTGCAGGCAGACAGGGCTGAGTTCAGAGCCCAGCCCCTCTGTGTCCTCACCCGTGAGGACTGTCCTCACCGCCTGGCCTGCCTATGTGAGCCCCGACGGCACGCCCCCTGCGGCTCACCACCCTGACCCACTTGGGCAGGTTCCCTAGGGGGGATGCCGGGCCCTGCTCAGGCCTGAGCGCCGAGGTCTAGCACCTTCTTTACTCCCCTTCATTTTTTCCATAAACTTGGCCAGCTGCCTCGACCACTCTGTGTGCTTCTAGGCGTTAAGACTGTCTTATTTTTTTTCTGACCTTGCGTTGGAACTTCTTCAGGCCACAGACCTGGCTGGCTCTCAGATCCCTCCCCATAGCAAAGGTCCTGGTCTTTACTGATTTTTCCAGGAACCCATGGGACGGGATCTAGAGGTCTTGGGTCTGGCCGACAGCGGACAAACCCTTACCCCACCTGGACGGGAAGCAGGGCTTCACTAACAATATCCAGAAGGCCTGTGTGCTGGATTCCACTGCCCCCGCCCTGCAGATAGGTCCTTTGGAGAACTATGTTGGCCCTAACCTTCTTCCTGTAGATGGCTCTCTTTCCAAAGCTTTGACAGTGACTCAGAGAGAAGGAGGCAGGTGAGATCAGTGGTGTAGCTAGTTGGTGATAAACAGAGGGAAACAAGACTTGTGTGCCCGTCTCTGTCTCCTCCTTGAGTTTCAGCCACTCTGGTCTTTGCACAGTGCCTTCGAGGTCCTCTGCCTCTGGCCCTTTGCACATGCTATGCCCTTGCTAGAACACCATCCCCAACTCCTACCTCGCAGAGGAGCCAATTCTCTGTTCTTCAGGTCTCTGCTTAAACATTAAGCTCAGTCTTGGTTGGGCCCCTCTCCATCCTGTCTGCTTTTCCTTGGCAACACTTTTGAGTCATGATTTATGGTTAACTATGGGGTTATTCGAGACATGCTCAACACCCCTATTAAACTACAATTGTTAAGCCTGAACAGAATTTAAGGGGCCCGTGAATGCAGGTTTGGGAAAAAAAAACTTCATGTGTATTTTAACTAGCCTTGAACTGAAATGGAAACCACAGGCATTTGTATATCGCATTATAATTGTGGGAAATATTTTGAAGAATCATTTACACTCAACAAGAATCCGAAATCACAGTGGTTATCAGACCTGCTGTTCCATCTTATTATATAATGCGTTGCTAAAGAAGCTCAGAGATTACTATGTGCCAACTTGGGTTGCAATACAGTGATCTATGTTACTACAGAAATCTCAGTGATTCTTTGTAAGTTATAGTATGTGTTTATAAATCTGCATCCTAGACATTGTCTGGAAAGGAATGCGTAGGCTTCCTCAGACTATCAAGGATCCATGGCCCCCAAAATGTCCACACAGTAAGATCTAGGAGGACAGAGAACATTTGTTTCGTTTGCTACTGAAGCTTCAATACCTACTAGGTTCCTGGCACCTGGAGAGGATCTTAGAATAGTTCCTAAAGGAATAAATGAGCTGGGAAGACCTCCACACCCCATCATGAGTCACCCCAGTAAAGAGGGGAGGGTGTCTCACTTAGTTTGAAGTCCTCCAGGTCCATCTTTAGCTGTCTTATCACATCAGGTTGGAAACCTCAAACATGCAGAACAAAATTTACCTTTGGTGAGGGGTACCAGGGACTCCACCACTGAGCCACATCCCCAGCCCTATTTTGTGTTTTATTTAGAGACAGGGTCTCTCTGAATTGTTTATTGCTTCCCTAAGTTGCTGAGGCTGGCTTTGAACTCGTGATCCTCCTGCCTCAGCCTCCCTAGCTGCTGGGATGGCAGGTGTGTGGTGCTGTACCCGGCTACAAAATTTATCTTTGAAAAAGAGGGGTCGGCAACCAATAAATGGGCCAAGAACCTGAATAGACACTTCTCAGAAGACGATATACAATCAATCAACAAATATATGAAAAAAATGTTCATCATCGCTAGCAATTGAAGAAATGAAAATCAAAACTAAGATTTCATCTCACTCCAGTCCGAATGGCAGCTATTATGAAGACAAGCTACAATAAGTGTTGGCATGGATGCGGGAAAAAGGCACATCATACATTGCTGGTGGGACTGCAACTGGTGCAGCCAATATTGAAAGCAGTTTGGAGATTCCTTGGAAAACTGGGAATGGAACCACCATTTGACCCAGCTATCCTTCTCCTGGTCTATACCAAAGAACAGCATACTACAGGGTCACAGCCACATCAATGTTTATAGCAGCACAATTCACAATAGCTAAACTGTGGAGCCAACCTAGATGCCCTTCAGTAGATGAATGGATTAAAAAATGTGGCACATATACACAATGGAATATTACTCAGCAATAAAAGAGAATAAAATCATGACATTTGCAGGTAAATGGGTGGAGTTAGAGAAGATAATACTAAATTAGCCAATCCCAAAAAACCAAATGCTGAATGTTTTCTCTGATATAAGGAGGGTGATGCATAGTGGGGTGGGGAGGGGGAGCATGGGAGGAATAGATGAACTCTAGATAGGGCAGAGGGGTGGGAGGGAAGGGAGGGGGAAGGGGGTTAGAAATGATGGTGGAATGTGATGGACATCATTATCCAAAGTACAGGTATGAAGACACGAATGGATGTGAATATACTTTGTGTACAACCAGAAATGTGAAAAATTGTGCTCTACATGGGTAATAAGAATTGTAATGCATTCTGCTGTCGTATATTTTTTAAAAATGTTAAAAAAAAAAGAGCGGTGGGGTCGTCCTGCCCCACACCTTCCTGATTTCAGCTGAAGCTTTAACTTGATGGGATGCAATTGCTGGGGAGAACCACCAAGATACACACCCTGAGCCCCCAATGGAGAGGCTCGCTCCCAGTAAGGTCACCAGAAGGAACCCAGGCCCCTCACCACCCCGTGCCCCTTGGCCTGGCAGAGGGGCAGCTCTGCCGTGGCTCCTGTAACCCTGTTGGGGGCTGCAGCCTTCCTACCTGGATTTGTGGGTGGCCTGCCCCTCCCTGAAGGCAGAGTCGCTCTTGGTCTGTCTGAGCACCGACAAGAGGCTGCAAAGCAAGAGCGATCTTTAGTGAGGCCCTGAACACGGAGGCTCCTTGGGCACCCATGGGGGGACGAGGGTCCTTGCAGAGGGGGGACCTTCAGGGCCACCTGCAGAGGAATCACTGCAGAGCCTGCCGACACCCTGGGCCACGTTTCCAGAGATTTGGATCTACTGGCCTGGGGGTGGGCCTCAGAAGCTGCATTTAAAACGATACACCCCCCCCAAAATCTCTCTCTCCCTCTCACACGCATACGCGTGCACACACACACACACACACACACACACACACACACGGCCCTGTAGCATTCCCAGCATCCTGTGACAGCGTCCCCTTGACATGCCTGAGGCTGCCTTTGGAGAGTCTGGGACACCAAGGTCTAGACATTTGTGTTTTCCCACAAACTCCCCCAAAATGCCTCTGCTCTCCAGACATATTTGGGAAACACCGTTAGAAAATTTGAAAGAAACACTGTCTTCTTCCATGTCTGGGGGACAGTCCAGCCTTGAAGCCACAGGCTGCTCAAGGCTGGCTTTTGGGGTCCCTCAAAACCCCAGGATTCTCTGTCAACCTTGATGGGAGCAGATTTGGTGCATGAAGCAAGAAAGAAATAAATCAAGATTCCAAAGGGACGGGACGGAGAACGGTGGCTTCCTTGCCGGCCCCCTTCGGCTCTGTGCTGGAGACTCAATCTCCGCTGTCGGGCGGGAGGGGTTTTCCCCTCGGAGGAATTAACGAGGAAGGGGAATTTCAACAGGTGCTTGCTCCGTAACCATGGTTATTTTATCATTAAACTGAATGTAGAGGCCACGTGATGGGTCCCCTGAGAACCAGGCTCGAGTGCGATTTTGTCCTTGTGGATCTTTAGGAAGTCACTTGTGGCTGTTCCTCTCCATCAGTGAGATGGGGCGTTGGTGACAGCTAAGGGACCTGCCTCAACAAGGTGCAGCAAAGACTCCACAGAGCACGGGGTAGGAAATACAAGTAACATCCATCCCTCCTCCCCTACCAGTTGTCGTTTACTGAGCGCTTCCTATCTGCCAGGTCTAAGCTTATACGTTAAATAAAATGCACGAGCTCACTCTTTGCTTCGAGTGACTCACAGGAGCAGACACTATTTACATAGCATTCATAATACTTTACAAGAATAATGTCATTCTCACCCCAGCCCTTTGGGATCAGTTGCTAAAGAGCTTCCTTTGACAGAATTGCAATCCGATCTGAGAGGTAAAGCAGCTTGCCCAACATCACACAGCAAGGAAATGGTGGCGGGGAGAGTGTCCCTAGAATATTTGGTTCTAAAGTCAATGCTTCCATGCTCTATGATCTCATTTTATAGATGAGGAGTTGGAAGGTTTAGGAAAAGCCTAAGTGACATGTCTAAAGGCCACCAGTGTTCGGATTCTTATCAGCCTAACTCCGAGCCCAGTGCTCATGCTGTGAGCTCTCAGGAAGAGCAGCCTTGCTGAGCTGCTGTTCACTGTTACTGTCTGTCTCTGTTGCTGGCCAAACAGGGACAGCAGCAGCGGGGCCTTATGGGCCGACTTGGGCTCTGAGTGCCTCTAAGGCCACCTTCCGGAGTCCCCAGTGCGGGTTCAGGCTGCGGCAGACAGATTCATCATTGGCGGCAGAGGTGGGGCGGGCTGGTGCGAGCGCTGGGTGAGCTGTAATTATGGTAATAACAATAACCAATAAGTCATCGCCGGCATCCCAGCAGGCTGAAGGCGATGATGAGCCTCTTCTCCTGCCTCATCTGTTCTCAGGAAGTAATTTGCTCGCGCAGAGGGATCTGCTCTTGAGCAGGGACTCTGACTCCTGCCTGCCTCCTCTTGGAGGAGTTTAGAGGTCAGAGGTCCCAGGGAGCCGCTTTCCACTCGAGGGACACCACCTCAGGCTCGAGCCTGGTGTATGAGCCACTTCACCCTTCAAAGGATCCCCGTTGCTCTTGGGATAAGATCAGAGTCCTTGGGATGAGGGCACCCAAGATGGAACCCAGGGCCTCACCTGTGCCAGACGCGTGCTCCACCACCGAGCCACACCCCTGGCCCTTTCTATCTTTTCTTTTGAGACGGGGCCTCTTTATGTTTCCCAGAGTGGCCTTGAACTTGCAATCCTTCCTGCCTCAGAGCAGCTGGGGTTACAGGTGGCTCATACCCTGGACACTTCTCATGCTAATGACGAGTGCATGGACTTTGCATACTCATGAATATTCATAAGAAGAGTGGACATAAGGCCACAGGATTCCCAACAGGCAGAGCAGGGACCAGGGTGGTGTTTGAGTCGTGACCTGACCGTGCACTGGCTGTGTGACCTGGAACGCGTCACTTAGCCTGTCTGAACCTGTTTCCTTATTTGCAAAATAAAGACAGGGGCACCTCCCTGGGAGGGTGGTTGTGAGGATTCAGGGAGGTGAGCCCCAGGGACCAAGTTAAGAGCTGAGCCGATGCCCGAGAACCGGCAGCTTGTGCCGTCCATGTCATTACTGCTGGGCTGACCCTGCCCCAGGAGGCGGGAGCACGTACCTGGGAGCTTTCCTCTGCATCTCGTTCTCCATCATGACGGTCCTCCGGGCGTCTTCTCGAACCATCTCCAGGAGCTTTTGCAAATCTGATGGGAACATGAGAGGTGACCCTTGGATGGGGGGGGGACCCTGGAGACACAAGTGTGCATGGTGGGGCCCAGTCCCCAGAGAGCTGGAGAGATCCCACTGGGGTCCAGGAGAGGTGGCAGGGGCCTGACCACGTGGCCTCCCCCTGGCTTAAACCCATCAGTGCCCCTCCATTTTCCTTCCAGCACCATGACTCCAGAGAGCCCCGGAGGCCTTGGGGGATCCGGCTTGCTCTTTATCTCCTCCGCTCACCTTGAACTCTACTGCAACCCAGAGAACTGTTTCTAATCCTGAGAACAAACCCTCTCCCATCTCCTTAGGCCTCCATTTTCCAAACTGGTGATTCACAGGCTCAACCCTGCTCACAAATGCATTTAATCTGATTGGAGAGGCAGGCAAACCTTTTAAAACCAGCAGGCTTCCCGGGAAAATCCAGACCTGCAGCTTCCCTGGGAGACACCCCCGAGTGGGGCCGTGTTGCCCTCCTTCCTGCCCATGTTACTGTGGCCTTAGACAGGCGTGTGTCCTTCAGCTCCCCGGGGCTCCCCCGACTCCTCACCGTGGAACCCGACTTTCATTTCCATGCTTAATATTGTTGACCTTTACCGGTGCAGAGGTATTTCTTCACACCCGACATTTGTGGCTTGAGTTGTGACTCACAAAAGACATGGTTAGTCCCAATCCCTGGTACGTCTGAGAGTGACTTTATTTTGAAATAGAGTTACTATAGTTCTAATGAGGAGTATGGTGGACACTTTATCCAATAAAACGAATGTCTTCATAATAAAAGGAGGAGGACAAGCTCGGAGGGAAGATGGCCAGATGGGCACTCAATGATGGGCAGAGATCCGAGTGATGCAGCTACAAGCCAAGGACTCCCGGCAACCACCAGAAGGCAGACGAGGCGAGGGGACCCCCCTGTATGTTTCAGAGGACGCGTGGCCCTTCTGCTGGACGTCCATCCACCATGGCTTTGAGGCAATACATTCTGTCATCTCAGGCACCAGGCTGTGGTGTTTGTGGTGACAACCCAGAGACAGATCCCCTGGTGTTTGCAAAAGTTAAAAAGGGAAATGTGGATCAAGTCAGCGATGTCTTTTGCAAAAAATGGAAATGGGGGAGTGAATCGTGTATTACATGGATGCACATTTTGCAAACTCATGACCCCTCCCCGGAGTGGGACCTGCAGGATGCAGAAGGCTTGGGCTTGGGGGCTTCCTTGTCCTCTGGGTGGCAGCTGTCCTCGGTGCTGAAACACCCCAGCGTGTGAGGCTGCTCTTTGGTGGTAGCCTCTTCCTGAATGTCTCTCCAGATTTATGGACAAGGAGAGGGAAGAGGGGCTTGGAATGAGGGGGTCCTTTTTTATATTTTATTTAGAGACAGGGACTCACTGAGTTGCTTAGGACCTAAGTTGCTGAGGCTGGCTTTGAACTCACCATCCTCCTGCCTCAGCCTCCCTCAGCTGCTGGGATTGTGGGCGTGAGCCATGGCACCGGGAGGTGATTCCATTTCCCCTGGATCTGACCTTGGTTTTTGTCTTGTCTGTTCCCACCACACCCTGGAATCCTCAGGGTGTGTCCATTAGTGAGGGGCGTCACCTCCTTTCTTCCCTTCTCTTGGGGACCCAGCAGCAAAAACTGCCTGCTCCCCTTCCCTCCGCCCTAGCCATAAGCAACAAAGCCTTGGGTGGGTGGATACAGTAAATGACCCGGTGACCTGGCACACAGGACACGCTCTTAGAGGATCACATTGCTAAGCTCCAAGCTCAATGCACTCGGGGGTTTTCCTGCCCCCTGAACATCTCTGGTGCCGATCAAATGAAGCCCCCTGTGTTTGTAGCCCTGGATGGAAACGGAGAGACAGAGCAGATCCCGGGACTCCTCAAGGCTGCCCAGGAGAGGGCTGGTTTGCAAGGGTGCAGATGCTTCAAAGTGGCGCTTCCCCGAGGGTGGAAGGGGATCCTGGGGTGGATGTTTGCACACAGAGAAACCTACTGGCTGCTCCGTTCCCAGGCTGTGGGGATGCTGTGACCCGTGGCTCCCAGGCAATGCCATTCAGCATGCTCCAGTCATCCGCTCAGAGAAGAGGAATTCGTCCTCCCTTTTCCAGCCTGAGAATCACACCCTGGAGTTACTAAATCCCTTTCTATTTTCTTTTTTGGTACTGGGAATTGAACCCAGGGGCACTCACCCACTGAGCCACATCCCCAGCCCTTTTTATATTTTATTGAGAGACAGGGTCTCACTGAGTTGCTGAGGCTGGCTTTGAACTCGTGATCCTCCTGCCTCAGCCTCCTGAGTCATGGGATGACAGGCAAAGGGAAAATAAGGGAGGTCTTTTTGCTACGTGGCCTGACTCAAAGCAGAACCTTAGATAACAGAGGACCCACATTTCGAGTTGCTATTTTAAGTGAGGAGTTTCTCCCCTGCTTTCCAGGCCGGCAGGAGCAATGGCCTGGGCTTGGGTTTCCTGGGAATTGCCCTGCCATTGATTTGGGGAAGGGATCAGTCCGCGGAGAGGCCACCACCCTCTGTCTCAGTGATTTGCATCCACCAAGACTTCATTATGCAGCTGGCCCCGGAAATGAGACCTTGGCCAAATGGTGCGTCTCTCAGAAGAGAATTCATGAATGTAGAATCAACTGGGGGAGGTTTGGGAAGGCAACGAGAGGCTGGGAAATTAATCTACTTCTATCAAAGGCTGTGACAAACAGGGGGCGGGTTCAGACGTAAATGGAGAGAGGAGAGGAGGGTGAAGTAAGAAGAACTTTCCCTCCTAGAAGTAGGTCCCTGACGGAAAGGCGTTTCTCAGCCCTTCTGCACCCACTGTGTCCCAGGCTGGAGGTCAATAAGATATCTGTGCCTTCAGGGATCTCACCCTCCTTCCCTCTTTATTCCTTAGTAATAGTACTATGGTGACAAGACACATTTACTAGCATATTTTTTTTTTCCTAATCATCTGCAATTGGGTGTGGCCCTATGACTAAGTTTTGCACAGCGAGACTTTAGTAGAAGGGTAGCATAGAGCTTCTGAAAAGGCTGCTCGAACAATATTTTGTCTACTTCCTTTTGCTTCAAGCCTAGAAAGGAGGGTGTGATGGCTGGAGTTCTAGCAGCCATTTTGGATCACGAAGTGAGGTTGAAGGTGGCAGCGTAGAAAGACGCAAGAAAGCAGGATTCCCTGATGAGCCTTTGGAAGTCACCTTCCCAGCCCTGGACTGGTCTTCTCTAATTGGTAAGAAAAATAGCCATCCTCAGGTCTTTTTATCAGCCCAAAGAAGTCCCTGTCTGATTCAGTGAGACGCAGTTATAAACTAAGTTCCCAATAAGAAGCCAAGACGAAAATACTGAGAGACTTGAAAAGAGGGAGCACAGGGAGGCAAGGAAGGCTTCGCAGAGTCAGGGTGAAAGGGAATCCCAAGTAGAGGAAGTCGCCCAAGCACGCGGGCCGTTTTAGAAGAGGAAAGTGTCTTGGTGAGGTTGGACCGACCCGTTTAAGGTGTGAAGAGCTGAGCTCATCCTAGGTCTGGGGTTTCTTGGGTCATGTGACGATGCTGGCTCTGCTGTGTCAGTGTCGCTCTGGCTCCACACGGAGAAGCATTAGGAAGGACAAGAAGCAGGGAGACTAGTTAGGAAGGTGTCACCACCCTGTAGGTGCCAGGAGATAAGTCTGGACCAGGGGTCCCAACCTCAGGTGGCTTCAGGGATCAGCAATAAAAAAAAAAAAAAATGAAAGATGCATGTTATGTAAGAAAAGCCGGGCTGCTTTGGACTTTGTTCTATTTCTTACCTTTTTTTTTTTTTTTCTTAGAAACTTGGGGAAAGCACAGAGATCATGAGGGACGTGGGGCCAGATTTCCTGAGTTCAAACTCAGGAGGGATCCTTGGTGGCCTCCCTGGTGCCTGGAGAGGAGGCTCCACCTGCAAAGCCTCCTGCCTCCTCCAGTGTCCTGCCTTCAGCGCTCAAGCTGCGCCCACGAGGAACATGTGCAAGTTCTGAACCATGGCCTGAAGCTGGGGTGCTTCTCTGCCCTTCCTAGTTAAGAGCAGAACTTCTAGTGTTAGAGACACAAGGGCCCCAACGGGACACCGACGGCCACACAGACACCTTGACGGGCCATCCAGGTCCCCTTCCTCCTTCCTCCTAGTCACCTAGAGACTTCCTATTGTATTGGAAATAATTCTGAAGTCTTGGTGCTGCAGACGCCCTGTGCACTCTGGCCAGAGCTGAGCCAAGCCTTTCTTGACCTCCTGGCAAAATGAACCTCACTCCAACCGGCTCCGTTTCAACACCTACTTGTTTTATCACCTTCTGAGCCCTCGTTATCTGACACTGCCTGGCTGTTTGTGATTTCTTGTTTATTATCTGTAAAACGTGCTGTAACTTCAAAAATGCACCACACCTCAGTTCCCTGCACCTAGTAGGTGCTCAGGAAAGAAGGTTCGAGACCCACCAAGGATCACCCATCCGGGGAAGGCTTGGCTGGGCTTCTCCCCAGCTCAGCTAATAACTTGTGTGCAGAGAACAGCTTTCCAGGTCTCAGAGCCTTTTGGTAGCCCCCTGGTGACAAGGGGTAGGTGGCGGGATCCTTCTGACTGGCAGTTATGACTCTGAGCCTGCCCACTGCCCACTTCCTGCTCTGACCCCTCAGGGCTCTGTACAGACTCTTGGCCACCCTGGACCTCCTTACCAACCTCCGTGAGGCCAGGCGTTGCAGAGGTGAAGGGGGACAGGCCTAGCAGGGCTCAGCGCGGACCCCACTAAGGGGACAGGCAGGGGGCTGTCCTGTGCAGCCGAGTCAATAATTTTGCAGAAGCCCGTCCTCCTTCCTACCCTGCCTTCCAGTCACAATTCTGTCTGGCTGAGGTCTGAGGCTCCCCACCCACAAATGGTGTGAAAAATGGTGTGTGTGTGTGTGTGTGTGTGTGTGTGTGTGTGTTTGAATTTTCTTCTTGAGCCCAAAGCTTTCAGCGGGTTTTCCAACGTGCCTGTGTCCCCTCGTTTGTGACCAACACTGAAAAGTCTTGTTCCAGGGGGAGGGAAATCTCTCAGAAGACAAATCTGTTGGGCCAGACAGTAAATGTGTGGCTCCCTGGTGGCTGGGGGCGGGGGGGCGCTAATGGCCACACGGTTAAGGTTTGCTTCTGGGTTGATGGAAATGTTCTAAAATCAGATTGTGGGGATGGATATACAACTCGGCAAACTTCCTAAAGTCATGAGAAGGCCCATTTAAAAGGAGTGGATTTTATGATATTGAAAAGATTCCTCGAGGAAGGCATTTTAAAAAGCAGGTGCCAAGTTTGGAACACTTAGCCAGGAAAATAATACAAAATATCTCATTAAAATTTTTTATGTTGATGACATGTTGAGTGACAGTGTTCTGTATACAATGGGCTACACAAAATACACTTTTTTTTTGGTACCAGGGATTGAACTCAGGGGCACTTGACCCCTGAGCCCCATCCCCAGCCCTATTTTGTATTTGATTTAGAGACAGGGTCTCCCTGAGTTGCTTAGCACCTCGCTTTTGCTGAGGCTGGCTTTGAACTCACGATCCTCCTGCCTCAGCCTCCTGAGCCTCTGCGGTGACAGGTGTGTGCCTGGCTGAACTAAACTTTTTAAATTCAAAAGGTACACTGAGGAGCTGGGATGTCTCCTTAGCGGGATGCTGGGAGTCACTTCACCCACTGGGGGAAAGGAAAGGGGCCCAAAGGAGCCGCATGGGGCTGGGGGACCCCTGTGCCTGTGCTGACTGAGGGGAGGTGGAGCGGGTGCGCTCCTAAGGACATGGTCACATTGAGGCAGGTGGTGGGATCTTGGGTGGGACTTACTGATGTGCAGGGGCTCCTCGTCGGGCTTGGTAGAAGAGGACTCGTTGTCCTCGACGTCTTTGCTGCCGGTCACCTGGGTGGCCACGCTCGGGTGCTCATCGGAGCCGGGGTTCATGGAGATCATGCTGCTCTGCGGGGAGGACGCGCCGCTGGTGCGGGACAGGCTGATGGTGGAGCCCCGGCGGCTCAGCCTGCGGCTCACGGCCCTGATGACGGGGATTTTGAATTTCTTGGTCTGAAGGGAGGAGAGAAGGAGGTGAGTTCAGAGAGGGAGAGGGAAGAAGAAAGGAGGGACGGGAGGAGGGACACCCGCGCGCACCCTGGGCCTCTTCTGAACCCCGGGAGACATTTGCTGGATCCGGAGGGACCTCGGGTCACAAATCAGGATAATTTTTTAAAAAAGCAACTGAAGCAAATGTGACAAAATCTGTGCTATTGAACGAGGTCCCCACGGTCCCCGTCTTCACCCCAGGAAGGCTGCTGTGGATTCCCAGGCTGTTGCCAAAGCCCAGAACAGGGTGGTTTTTTGTTTGGTTTGATTTCTGGTTTTGGTACCAGGGATTGAACCCAAAGGTGCTTAACCACCGAGCCCCATCCCCAGCCCTTTTTATTTTATAATTTTGACACAGGGCCACACATAGCTGCCGAGGCTGAGGCTGGCTCTGAACTCGTGATCCTCCCGCCTCAGCCTCCTAAGCCGCTGGGATGACAGGTGTGTACCACCCGCTACCGGCCCAGGAGAGTTTTCAACTTTTCTTTTGTCGTGACTGTTGGAGTTGACTTTCAAACCGTAAAGGAAGGTAGGTCCAATGTCTTTAGCTGCATCTTGGTTTTGGCCTCCAACGGCCTCCAACTTGATCACCAGGTCGATGCCCGGAAGGGAACCCGAGGGTGAAGATTTGTGTTCAGGGGTGTTTTCCAAAGAAGCTGAGAACTTTCTGGGCCTGGTGTTTAGGAGGTGGAGCGGGGGAGGCAGGTATGTCTGGTGGGTGGTGTTCTTGGGGGGAGAAAAGCCGTGGGGGGTGGGAAGGCCTTGAAGGGATCAAGAGGCAGACAGAGAAGCTTGTGAGGGGAAGGGAAGGAGTCAGAGAGAACGGGTTACAGGTGTGTGTGTGTGTGTGTGTGTGTGCGCACATGTGTGTGTGCGCATGAGTACCCTCCTACATTATTGGAGTCCCTCCACAAAGTACTCTCTGAGGTCATGTCCTCTTGACACGCATGATCCAAGTTTCAGAGAGTCTTCTTAACTTTCCCAAGGTCACACAGCTAGCAAGCAGCAGAGCCAGGGTTCAAACACAGGTGAGGGTAACACCAAAGCTGGTTACTTAAAAATACATTGAAAGGCCTTTTCGGTGGCATTGAAAGTGCCCTTGATCCCACGGTGAGGATTCTTTATGGCATTTAAAATGCCAGGTGGTGTACGCCTGCAGTCCCAGGGACTTGGGAGGCTGAAGTAGGAGGCTCACATGTTCAAGGTCAGCCTCAGCAATTGATAGAGACTCTGTCTCAAAATAAATGGCTGGAGATGTGGCTCAGGGGTAAAACGCCCCTGGGTTCAACCCCTAGTTCACCAAACCAACAAAAAAGTAGTCTCCTTGGTTTTGGGTGGGGAAGAGTAGGCCCTCTACAACTCCAGAGGAAAATCTCACAACAGGTGTGGGGTGACAATTTACACCCAATTGATAAAGATGATTTTATTTGAGAATATTTTAAATGAAAGCTGTGTGTGTGTGTGTGGGGGGGGGGTCAGACAAATGACTTCTTTAGAGGAAACACAAAGTTGCCCAGGAAAGAAGATAGGAAGGAGAGAGGGGGCAAAAGAGCACACCTCAATTTAATATGTAGTTAAAATACACAGAATAGGGTGGAGAGAACTGTATCCAGCAGGTTCATTTCGGGAGTCCATGACATGTGATCAGAAGACACACACACACACACAGTTGTGCTGGGGATTGAACCCAGGGGCGCTTGGCCACTGAGCCCCATCCCCAGCCCTTTTCATTTTTTATTTGGACGTGGGGTCTCGCTTAGTTGCTGAGACTGGCCTCGAACTTGTGATTCTCCTGCCTCGGCCTCCTGAATCTCTGGGGTCAGGGAGTGTGCCCCCCCCCAACTCCCAGGAGGAGCCGTATTTTGATTGGCTGTCTCACGGGGCCCTGAATGTGGGTGGAACTTCCCTGCAGTAGGAGAGGGGAGGGATTTCTTGGTTGTACAGAGGAAGGGGAAGGTGGGGGAAAGGGAGAAGAAGGTGGGGGGAAGGCTATCGTGTGAGCTCTTCCTGGGCGTGGCTCTTCAGTGACATTCAACCCAAATGGCAGCATGTTAGAGAATGTGACAGACTGGGGGGGCGGGGGATTGGAGTTTGAACTGGGCTTAGCCAGACCTCCAAGGGGTTGCAAAGCGCCTGTGATAAAAGTCAAAGCAGATACCAAGAGTTGGCGTGTTCTCTCCTTTGATTAATCAGGGGCTGGGAACAAGGCTCCCTCTGTCCTGACTGACAGCCCCTCTCCTGCCTGCCCCCAGGGGAGATGATGTCAGAGCTCAGCGGTGGTCCACACACAGGTCGCCTCTGTTCTCTCTGCCACAGTACAGATTCCTGGGGCTGGAAACCGAGGACTTTCTGGAGGGACTCCAATGTCAGATTTGGAGCCTGGACAGACAGACGGTCATGGAGGGCATCTTGGAATCTTGCAGTGAGCCCTGAACTCAGAGCCAAAGGCACTTACAAAACACTCAGAGGTGGAACTGGGAGGACCTCAGGAGGGCCTTCCCTAGCCACAGTTTTGTGTGCATCTTCTCCCAGCTAGGATTTCATCTTGTGCTCCTCAGAGTTGCCAGTAATTAAAATTCAATTAACCACCCCAGCCAGGAAAGTCCAAAGTGAAGGGCTGACACTTCTGATTCATTGAGAGTGGTGGAAAAATAAAAATGTGGGGTGGGGTGGGGGGGAGATGTGACAGGCAGCTTCAGCGTCTTGCTTGCCCTTTAATGAACGGACTTCCCCTGAGTTGACTTCAATCCCCAAATGCTTCTCTATTTTTTTTTCTATTTCACTCAGGGGCAATAGTAACCACATCAGTAGGGACTGACTTTTTGGTAGCAGAATCCCCGAATGGTTCCTTAGACTTTCTAAGAAGCAGGGGTTGCAAACTGTGGCTCCCAGGGAGACATATTTCATCAGCCTGGATTTTATACATTAGGAGATTTTTACATAAAAAACCTAATTTTTTTTCTCTCTTGGAAAAGACAAGGCCTGAGTTTTTATTCTCATGTGACAAAATGAGCTGGCGCTGAGCAGAGGGGCTTTTCTTTAGCTTTCTTGGCTAAAGAGAAGCCACAGACCTCACCCCTCCCTACTGTATCCCACCCGGGCTGATTCTTCCATCTGCAGAATTTTCTGGGCCCTTTGGAACACAGCTAGGGCCCTGTCAAGGTCTTCACGGTTCCAGAAAGATATCAAGGGCCTTGGGATTTCCAAATGCTCCATCCTTTATTGGCAGAGAAACTGAGATCAGGAGAGGGGAAGAGGTCACATAGTGAATGGAGTCACCGTGACTGAACCAGGCATCCTTCATCCCGTTCAGTGCTCTCACGCCCCCAGAGTGGACCACACTACTGTCCAGGGTGGGACCCCACACAGGCTTGCTGGGAAATTTAATTTTGAAAGAGTTCGGCTCCTGCAATTCACTCCCCACTCCTCCAGTTCTAGTCGTGAATATTCCTGAAGGACATTTGTCAGGGTTTGCAGCTCCTGCTGCTGTGTCTGTGCATCTCTGGAGACGGATGTGCACAATATCTCCATAGCAACTTTCTGAGATAGAGACAAAGGCTCTTGCTTCTCAGATCTAGGAGCGGTCTGACAGAAAGAGCAGGAAAACGGTGCAAATGGTCTGTGGAGGGGAACGTGCAGTGGAAGAGCTCAAGGTTTAATAAATAGACAGACCCAAGATGAACTCCTGCCTCTGCCACCACCCAGCTGTGTGACCTCATGCAAGTTACTTAACCTCTCTGAACTCCAACTTCCTCCTCTCCCACCAGAGGATAAGAATAGTGTCCCGTGGGGTTATTAAGAAGGCAGAGTTGGATAATTCAAGTAAAGGACTTCCTTCGCATAGAACTGGCCTCCTTATGAGTACATTGATGGAAAATCGGTTTCTAAAAATTGCTAAGCAGGCTCAGCCTTTCCGCAGTTTCAAAGTGAGTTTGCAGATGGCGTCTTTATGTTCTTCACCACGACTGTGAGGTAGGCAGGGACCAGCTCTATGTCCATTTTGTGGGTGAGGGACAGACAGGCTCAGCCAACACTAGAGTCTTCACTTCCTGAAATATCGCCTCCTGCTTGGGGGTGTGTTGGGAGGCTTGTTTATTTAGTAGAGGAACCAACCGGGAGTTTTGGGGTGAGGAGTAGCTTGGGGTTGAGATATTTTCTTAACAGTGAGCACACATTCTAATTTGTAGGGAATCTTGTCTGTCGGAGCACTCAGCAGAGAGAGAGAGAGAGGGGGAGAGAGAGAGAGAGAGAGAGAGAGAGAGAGAGAGAGAGAGAGAGAGAGAG